GGGGGGGGGGGGCTCCGGGGTGGGTGAGCCAATTGGACGTTCAACTCTAATCTCACCTCACCTTTTTGAACGAGGTAACCATCCCACCCACCCCGGAGCCCCTCCCTTTCTTAAAAACAGGGTTTTATCGACTCAGAAGAAGAGTATCCATCATATGCAAGCATAACAATATGCGTCAAGAGCTAGTTTGTTCTAAATCACGAAACACATCAGTAAAAGCTCACCATTCCTTCCCAGACTCAGGCCCACTACTATCTCGCTGGAGAGGCGTCAGACGAGAAAGGATGCCGCGCCGCCGCGTGGCATCCCCCAACTCACTTAGCACCCAAAATTGATTGCGAACGACTTCGTTGTCGACTAACGTTCGGCTTTGTTCTTCTTTGAAACCTGACTTCACAGTTTCCGAAGAAGGCGATGTAGCAGAAGCGTTAGCCGACGAAAAAATTGTTGTTTCCAACCTTAGGGGCTCAGCCACGCATAACCCACCGAATAGTAACTTTTCAAGGACCATTAAGCAATCGATAGAAAAGCTGAAACTAGTCGATATACGGAAGGATCAAAGCAGACCAGACACGATGCAGCGCTGAAGGCGATGGCATCTTTCATAGTCCACGACCGGTCGCGCGACTGGTCGCGGACCCATCTCACGAGCGACCGGTCGCTCGACTGGTCGCTCGACTGATCGCGCGGGACCGCCCGCCGCGGCACCCATAACTAGCGCGGCCTCCTCGACCGACCGCGCGATCAGTCGCGCGATCGGTCGCGCGACCGGTCGTGGACTATGAAAGATGCCGACGGAACCTAACATGCGTCACATAATAAAACTACGGATATCGTTCAACGCAGATGCGTTTAGTCTTTCAACCGTCCATGTATTTCACAATGACCATTGGCCATTGTGAAGTACATGAACGACCGTTCGGAATGACATGATAATGCTCATTGTCGCCTGAACCTACACCCCGAAAAAACGCCGGGCGAGTTATAGGCGAGACAGTTGTCAAGTTTTTGGACATTCGTCAACTATACAGTTTGAGAATCAAGCAATTCGTTGCGGACCCACACTATCGACTCTCGTTTCATTTTGGCGCTACTTATGAATTGCTATTGGAAGAAATGTTAAAATCATCCGCACCCATAAACGATCCGAAAGTAAAGGATGACAATATACGTTGTTTGAAAGACAAGCTGGTTGTTTGGCCAAGGAATGTTGGCTTTTCATCGAGTAGGAACCTCCTTTAAATCACTGGCACCTGGCAACATGAAGAAGTAGAGAGAAGCAAGATCTGTTGTCTTACTGCTTCCTTCTCAGAGATTATCTTTTTACTGATGGGCCCTTTCCAGTGAGGCAGTCTTGGTTTTAAACATCACTCCATTTCAATAAAACGTTTTATGGTTGGATCGGTTATTAATGTTAATAATGTAACCGAAATCAATTTATTGTGATCCTCTACACAGTGAACCGTTGGGAAACCGTTTTAGGCTACAGGTCATATGACATCTTGGAAGGAGAAGGCACAAAAGTTCACCAAAAGAGTTCTGCTTTACAGAAAGTGTATCCCTGTTGTGCAAAGAAAAGAGCAGCTGAGTAAATTCGAACTGAAATGGAAATACTGCCTTTCAGTATCCCCTATCTACATTCATCGAGATAAGCTGTTCGTAAAGCTCTCCGCTTTCCACGGTTCGTCTCTTCTTTTCTAAAACTTCCCTCCCAAGAAGTCATATAACCTCCTTCGAACAACCTATACTGTCATCTTTCCCTTTACATTCGGATCTTTCATGGGTGCGGGTTCTCTAACATTTCGTCTTCCAATGGCAATTCAAACGAAGCGTCAAAATGAAGCTACATTAAGAGGATGATGGCGTATTTTCCGCAACGAACTAGAGGTGCTATCTAAGGAGGGTCCGGGAACATTTCCCCGAGGACGGCGTCGCGCACGCCGCACCCGCCGCGTATCGCAGGATTGCGATGGAAGATTGGAGCGCGCAATTTGTGAGGTAGGGAGTCCTTTAATCATTTGAATTGGCTGACCGCTCCCTTCAATTCCAGTGCGGTATTGATCGTCGCTAATATAGGAGGAGTCATTCTAATTAAACAAGTCTAATATACATAAAAAACAAGAAAAAGAAAGATAAAAAACGATAAAAACCAATAAAGAAGAAAGGCAACCAACAAAAAATATTGCGTCATATCGATTGGCGGGAGGCGGGATGAGTACGGTAATTGCAGTGACATTTGCCACATGCCGCAAGGGAGAATGCCGCAATCGGGGAAAAGTTCCGTTACTCATCTAAGGAGCTGGCAGGGTCCGCGAAATTCGCTGTGGGACCGCCATACCGTAACCCGCGCTCATGTGCTTAGTTGCAGCTGGCCTATATGTAAAAGTGAAATGAAAGCCACCAGGATGGGGAATGTACAGAAAAGGGAAGGTGTTGGGTGAGGCGCTTCACTCGACTGATTGAGCCAAAGGCAGGTCTGTTATAAGAGNGAGCTGGCAGGGTCCGCGAAATTCGCTGTGGGACCGCCATACCGTAACCCGCGCTCATGTGCTTAGTTGCAGCTGGCCTATATGTAAAAGTGAAATGAAAGCCACCAGGATGGGGAATGTACAGAAAAGGGAAGGTGTTGGGTGAGGCGCTTCACTCGACTGATTGAGCCAAAGGCAGGTCTGTTATAAGAGTTTCTTTGAAGAAACTATTCACATTAGATCGGAACTTTAGGCATCGCGCCCTAGTTGAGAAATCGTTTGTGCATGTGCGGACAGATTTGTCGAATTTCGCAGACGCCGCCAGCGGGTGTGTGCCGATTTGTGCGATTCTGGATGTGCGCGGCAAATTGCGCGGCGGAATTCGTGAAGATTCGAACGACTCTGACGTCTATTATTGGGGCACAAACCTGAAGTAGAATAGTTGGGTATGGTCAGCTGATCCTACTAATCCACTCTACTTCAAGTTTGTGCTCCAATAGTAGGCGTCAGAGTCGTTCGAATCATCATGAATCCCGCCGCGCACTTTGCCGCGCGACCCAGAATAGCACGAATCGTGCGTCCCCCCGCCGCCAGCTCCTTAGATAGCACCCGAACTAGATTCAAACGATGGGCAGCTTGCCAGAAAACTCGCCCGGTGTTTTTTCAGGGTGTAGGCTTAGACGACAGTATAATGCTGGAGCCAGCGACTTGGTGGGCTGCGATCCGAATATATCACTTCTGTCACTTTCATAGCGAACTAAGCCTGAAGTGATTCAAGTTCAAATACACCCAGTTCGGTTTATTCCAGCAAACATTTTAGATCAACTAAACTTTCATTGTTCTGCCGCATTCTGTTGTAGATACACGATACGTAGTGCACAAATGTGTGGCAATAGGAAACCCTTTCGAGCTAACTTTCCGGACGTGAAGTATTTCATTGGCAACCTACTATGTTGCTTGATCGTTGTTGAATAGCTGGGTCACCTGAATAACAAGATCTAAATTTTGTTTCTTCTACGTAGAAGTATGGTGACCGTGACATGTTTCTTATAGCAGTTATTATCGCGGTGTGAGAAAGCCAGCCTTGAAAGCAATCACCACACCAAAGTAGGACGACAAGATTGGTCGAGAACGTTTGGGAAGTAATAACAAAAAGGCATCCTCAACATTAGAGTAGATCGAGAAATCAAAGGGACGGGTTTACAAAAGGAAAAAAGCACATCTAGGATTCCTGAAATAACAAGTAGAAAACATATACTGGCAAATGCTGTTGCTTTCAAAAAGGAATCAAGTCAAACTTTTACCAAACTGCATCTCGGTTACTAAATTCCCAATCAAGACAGGATTGATTTTGAAAGAGCAGACCTTGAAAGTAACCATATCATGCTAACCTCTTTCTGCAATATTTCACGTTCATGTGCAAAAATTAGGAAGGCGAACGACTCTTCAGTATTTTTTGAATAACGCTAGATTTGTCACTCGGCGAAAGCAGTTATGAAGAAGCCGAACCTGCAAATGCCGAAGGAAAAGAACTGGAAGGCAATCCAGAAAAAAGATTTTTCTTGTTGTGCTCCATTCCACTGAAAAACTGTAGAGCTGCCCGATGTGATACAGAAGTAAAACCGACACAACCCTGCAATAGAAGAGTTCGCAGGGACAAAGCACAAGCGTACCCCGATCAATTTTGGCTGCGTTGCGGGCGCAGTGCGACTCATTTGGGGCAGCTTTTACATAACCGTAGGTTTCGGACTGCCGTTTAGGAAACCCAGTTCATTATGGACGGCCAGAAGTCGGGACCACAAGTGGCTTCTTTCAGATTGCTACTCACGGAGTTCTGACTTGGAATAGCTGTAGCCATAGCTTTTCCTAGTTCACCCCCAGTCCATATTTTTCGAAGTTGCTAAAGGCAGGGAAAGGGTTCCACTCGCAGCTGAACCTACCCGGGGAAAAATTGGCGGATGAGTTCACATCTATCCAACTATTGCGACAACTGTATAAATATAGCATTTGAATCAGGCAATCCGTTGCGGACCCATCCCATCGACTCAGTCAATGCTATCTTTCCTGGGTGCAGTTCATGACTTAATAATAGTGATTCCGATTCCCGAACACAACAATACATTGCAAATATGCGAGTGTGTATGCTGTAAACATGTAGTGTAAGTGCTATGTAGGAGTGTAAGCCATTTTTCTAGCCATCCTATGGGAACCGGTAACTAAAATGCGTTGCGATTTGTATGAAAACATTGTCGGGGTACTGATGAAGGCTTTCCACGCCAACAGAAAGTAAACTGTCATGGTTTCTATGGGAAGGATGCCGGTGAATATTCAGAAAGGGAAACAGAATAAAAATTGGATAATGAATAATGAGATCTATGCCAACATTGTCGTACTCGGGATTTGAAACTGTTAATATGACATCTCATGAGAATTACTTCGGTGAATAGACATGTAACAAATATGAGAAGGTATCTTCCCAATAATACTAAGTAGCAATGGCCGGTAGGAACTGGCTCCCTTTTTCTAATTCAAGTTGTTCCTCTTTCCTAATTAGAATTCTATTTTTCCACATATTCGAACTAGTTTTCGAATTGTGCTCTTGGAAATGCTCCTGTTTCTTCTCCAATATCCTGGGTGGTGTTCTGGCAAAGGCCAGAACCCGCGGTCACCACCGCTTCCTCGGGGCGGGGCCTAAGTAGTAGATTTTCTACTCTGTCTTACCCGTAACAGGTACTCTTGTCTTGTACGCCACCCTAACTAGAGTCTTTGTGTTTGGTCTCAAATAAACTGTCACTGAACCACCGTTTTCTATTCGTTCGTTTAACAGAGAGATAACAATCTCTCTGATTACATCAAAGGCGCCACCCTTCCGCCTAGTCACCACATTTTTTGGTGCATCGGCTAAAGCCGTTATAAGGTCAGCGAATCACCTGTCCTTGAGATTCAGTCAGCCCAAAAGACTGCAAACAACAGCTTTGCGAAGAACAGCGTTATTGCGTTGTTGTTTGTTGAATTCCTAGTCGAATTTAACAGACGTATCTCATTTTATCGCTCGAAAGCAGCGAATTACTTGCTAATTCCACCGGACTTAGCTTATCTTTTCCTTGTTGAAGGGCAATCGCTCGAAAGCAGCGCACTTTTACTTGCTAAATCACAGCAAGTACACTATCACTAATAAAACGACCGCTCGACTGCAGCGTAGTAAGTGAAGGAAAGAAGTAGAGATATCATTATGGCACTCTACTTTTCCAAGAAACCGATTATTGCCAGCGCCACAGCCCTAGCCACTCTGTTACAAAAATATCTGCTACGAAGCAAACCTAGAGTATCCGGAGAACGAGGAGGAACTTTACCAAAAAGCTGTGGCAAACGTTACCTTTTATCGTCAGCAATCAGTCGTATAAGGACCGCTGTCGAGACTATTCAAGAAAGAGTCGATAAGATAGAGAATCATTATACTAATGCAAAAGACTGATCAAAAAGAACTCATTGTAGAAGTTCAGGAAATTGAAAGAGAATCTCAATATCCACAACATTTGGCGAGCGCTGAGGCTTTCATTCATATACTGGAAGCTCAGTTAACTGAGGCTAAAGTAAATTCGGCAGAAGCCCAAAGAAAACTAAAATTACTTTTAGCTAATAATGACAGTGAAGGATCATCAACTCACAGTAACAACCAGACAAGTTGGTCTCAGGGAAACTCAGAAGATCTAAATTCTGAGAGCAACACAAGGATGCGGACAGTCAAACCGCCCAATATCAGCTTACCAAAGTTTCATGGTAGCGAAGAGGAATTCCCAGAGTACTTGGCAGTTTATGAATCCCTCATTCACTCAAGCAATAACCTGAGCACAATTGAGAAAATAGTTTTACTGAAAGACGGCTTGAGAGGAAGGCCGAAAGAGCCATCAAAGGAATACAGCCGATAGCAAAGAATTATGAGTGGATCGTGCAGACACTCAAAGATAAATTCGGCAACCGACCGGTCACCAGGTCAAAAATAGTGCAGAAACTCTTCGACTTGAAAGCTGCCGCACAGAATGCAAAAAGCTGTGATGACTGCTTGGACTCCATCAAAGCGCTTGTGAACCAAATGGTCTCCACGGACTATGACATCAGAGCCACTAGCGATCCTATGTGAACTGAAACAATAGTTGAAAGTTCCCTCACACAGCAATAAAGGACGGTCTAGCAAAATATCAGGATGACAAAAATATTATGATAGGGAATCTCAGAATGTTGTTAGAAAGAGAAATATCCTCCAAACTCTTCGTCGATACACCAAAGAGTATACCAAGGAAACTATGTCTACTAATGTACCTAGAACACAAAACCAAAGGTTCACCCAAACCTGCGTCTTCTGCGGGCGCAACAACCACCATTCTGCACTGTGCAGAACAGTCACCGATATCCAAACAAGGCGCGATATCGCCAAGGAAAAACGTCTTTGTTGGAAATGTTCCAACAATAACAACTCAAGCAATCAATGCACAAGCCTAGTTGTCCCAGCTGTGGCCAAAAACATCACCAAAGCATATGTCTGGCGAGCAGACCAGCCGGCACCAATGTCAGAGCCCCACCGGCAAATCTCAGGTCAGCTAGAAATGAGTCTAACCAACAAAACTATGGCAGCAGACCACAGCAGTCAGATACCAGGGGAGACGGGCGTTAGGAACGATTTTGGGTAATCGATTTGCCGCACGCGGCTGTCGCGGACCACTCATTCGCCGTTATTACAGCTCTAGCGTTCTTCATACAGCCCAATCGATATGCGATCATTATTTTGTGCATAATTCTACTATTAGTACTTTTGTTCTTGTATTTCTTACCTACTGCTGCCTCCTGCTACATTCCTTCGCGCGCGACGCCCCTCTTACCGCGACGCGACAATTGCGTTCCTAACGCACCACACCCGGATACCAGGCCTTACAACCGTTATAGCAATGATGCTAGGAGAACACAACAGACCAACACACAGGTCACTCAATTTGGGCAAGGTTACGACCGCTCTACGATCGACACCAGTAAAAATGAACAACTGATTCTTATGACAGCAGAGGGCAATCTTTGAAATAACAAAAATAATAGGTTCGAGAAAGTGCTCTTCTTCTCTGATACTGGAGCTCACAAAACCATGATTGAGGAGAAATTAGCAAATGACTTTGGACTTCCGAAACTCTTCACAGAAACCTGTACAATGTCGGGCATTGGAGGACACGTTGACGTTCGATAGCACAACTGTACCTTTGGGAGATAGATCCGCATACGGGGAAGAATTATGCTTCAACGTACAAACCAAACCAATCGTAACAAAAGGATTTCCTTCGGTAAGACTGACAGAAGAAGATGTCAATTTCCTTGAGCATAACCAGATCTGCGTCGCAAATTCCAATTTACAAGGAGTGCGACAGGTGCCCAAAATTTTAATCGGACTCGACAGATATCACGACCTTGTCGTATAAGACGGAGTCCCACAGAGAACACCTTCAAAACCGTATTCGGTCCAGCAATTTATGGCCGAGGCAGGCTAGACAAACCCGCAGAACATCAGTCAGTCTCCTTTGGGTTGATGGCCATTCACGAGGGCTCAGAGGATCAAATGTCAGAAAAACCATTCAAACTAGAAGGACTAAGAGTTTCTTCTGTTGATTGCGCCATTGATAATAAAGTTCAGCAACATTTCGAAAGTAACCCAATTTCAAGATCGATCGACATAGGTTATGTCACAGCACCATTTCCATTGCAGTGCAATATCTCGACACTTGAGGCTGAGGCCGCGTTCACGCAGATTAGGCTTAAAGACGCACACACAGGGTTATGCCGCCCACTGTGGGTAAAAGATAACACGAAGTCTATTGATGTCAAACATATTAGTGTACCGCTTTAATTGGTTACCGTTCAGCATCATTGTGTCACCCAGTCTCCCAACTATTTTGCGTCTAGCATTTTCATGCTCGGAAGGGACCGAATCATCAGCAGAAACAAGCAGAAACCTGTATATAGGCAGTATTTTACTCCAAGCACAAACTGACAGGAAGATTCTTAAAAATACATGGAATCGAAGAGTTTGTTCTCAGAAATCTGTACGAACCTTCGACATTATGTCTCCAACTCGAATATTGTTAATATGGTAATACCGAAGAACAACCGGACTCCATTTGGTAAAATGAAACTTCTTGGCGCTCATTACGACAAGAAGAACGACCGGTTAACAGTCAAGACAAAGTTCAAGATGAAGATGACGCTTACGAAAATAGATATAGCCAGCCAAACTGATTCTGTGTACGACCCGCTCAGTGTTGTTGATTCATTATTAATTGGACTGGAATCTTCGATCAGAGAGATCTTTATCACGCATTCAAGACAAGATGACCGCGTTCCCATGGAACTCCACAAAAAATGGAGTACGTCATGCGTGACAAATAACGCTATGATAACAATCCACAGAGCTCTTAGCGGAATAAATAAGCTCTTGAAAGGTGTATGTCTCTGGCTCTTCTCGTGCCCAAGCAATGAAGCTGTAGCGGCATGTTCTTCTACAGTATACCAAGACAAGACGACCTCCCTTCTTGTAAG